ATGATCTTTCACAAGAACAAGATGTTTTTCTCTGTGTTTATGTAGTTTTTTCAGTTCCCCCAGTTTCGTATTAGGAAGAGTGCCAGCCCTACTGGCATTGTTGATTGATATCTCGACCAACTAAAAGTGTCATCTGAGAACTGACCCATTTGGCATATACTATCTCTTGCAGCTTGACCTCTTTTGAAATTTCCAATTTCTTTTAGAGATATTAAGGCATGCAAATCTTCTTCCATCTTTTTCTGATGTTGTTTAGAGCAGCCTTTGCACAAAGAAGTAAACCATTGTGTGACCTACTCTTTTAAAGATAAGTTTCTCTCTGTAGAAATGTCTATGCCAAGGTTTTCACTTAAGCAGAAGGAAGAGAAATACCAAAGATTCATTAGATAAGACTTTGTGGTTTTGGGACGGTATTTCTTCTTAGCAACTCCTTCAAGGAATTTCTGATTGATGACTTTTTCATTCAAAAGAGAAGCCAAATCATTGTTGCTGTAATTATATGCAGGAGCTTAGAAATTTGTGCTTAATGTTGCTCAATTGTATTCGCGTCTAGGCTTCCACCATCTGCAGATTTCAGCCAGGTTTCAATTGAACAATGATTATGCGTGTCCTTTTCCTTCGTGGTCTCACCTTCTTTAGTATAGCCATATGTCTATACACGAGTCTACACAAGAAAGTGAGTGGTGGTTAATCTGATCTAACTTGCATGAAAGCGCAGGACATCGACATATAAACTGGACCCAGCCATGATGTGAGAACAGGCTCATTTCGTATAACTATCGTGTCCTTTTTTAGTTGTATGTTTATGAAAAGTCTCACCTCCTGTAGTATTGGCGCCATTCATGCATCACGAGTCTACACAAAGAAAGTAAGCAGTGATTAATTTGACCTAACTCACATGAAAGTGCACAGCTTAACAAAATACAACTAACAATATACCACTTTGTAAAGTTTATGATTCAACAAGTCCTAACTTTGACATATGAATTGTTTTATAATAACAATATCAGGCCATCGTGTGAAAGATAAGTTCCATGTCAAAATCTTGTAGGTAACTAGTCCTGATTTATATAAATGTTTATTTTAGATTGGTTTGAGAGAGATATGATTAAAAATGTTTTTTTTATGAAACAGGCAGTTGGGCACTAATCAACTTAGTTTTGGGTACAAATCATCTTAGCTTTGGGTGTAAATCATCTCAACTTTGTGTACGAATTGTCTGGATACGAAATGACCATGGGCATGAAACATCCAGTAAGCGAAGAGATTGCTTTGTTTTTACTGTGCCTTAGTGCATCTCATGCGCTAGTTTTAGAATTTACTTTCATAACGATTGAGGAACAACAATGTGAGTCCCTGTAAGAATGATTCCCTCAAACACAGACAACTCTTCTTTAATTCCGCTTTATGCTTTTAGTTTTTGGTCGAGTGGCCACTTTCCACTTTGAATTTCACTTACCAACTTTCTGAGCATGGCATCCTTGCTTGTTTCGGATTTTCTATCAGAAAGAATGACTGCTTAGAAACCTACCATGTTTGAATTCTACACAAACTGTACTTAATTTTCACAAATAAAGCCACTGTTCAGGTAATTGTTGCTTTCGGAAGGTGAATGTGACAGCAGGTCTGCTGTGTTAAAATTTCCCGAAGTATGCGCAATATGAAAATCATATTGATGCAATTGCCATGCCAAGACCTGAATTCTTGGCAGTAAGACGTTGCTAGAATGTGGATCAAACACACTTGAAAGCAGTTTGTTATTGATCAACAACACGGCCTAAAATCTAAATTTGCATGAGGCCAAACTCACACTTAACTTTGTTGAGTTTGAGGTTGTACTGGTGGCATCACTCATGGCATCCACTGCCATGATTGAAGCATGAATAATTATGTTGTCAACTGAAATTCATACGCCTTTGACACCAAAAATATTTCTTCATTTTTTTAAAGGCTTCACTCATGTCACTAAGTCCAAAAGGAGTACGCTTAAACTGATAACAACCTGGTGGCATAATAAATTTAGTAATATATCGCGACTCCTCAGCTTGGAAAAAACCACTCTTTGCATTGATCTTCGCAAAATACTTAGATCCACGCATAGCATGCAACATATCATCAACTTTAGGCAAAACGTAACACTTTCGTATAACAGCCTTATTTACCTCTTGTAAATTGCAACACACCCTTAATCTTCAGACATTTTCGGAACTATGACTAGGTTAGAACCCATGAACTTGGTGTAGTTACTTCTTCAATGATATCTTGCCCTAACATCCTGTCAAGGTTGTTGTTTACGGCATCTATTTGACTGACAAGTATTCCTCTAAGGTGTTGACCTTTAGGTTTGACCTTTGGGTTAATGATAATTCTATGCTCAAAGTTTTTTATCTTTCCTAAGCCTTCAAAAAGGTCATAGTACTCCTTAAGCAGTGAGTTCAGCTCACTGCTACCACTCTCTAAACGTACAGAATCTACCTGACTACGTACTTTTAACTGAAAGCTAGAATCTCGTCCAAGAAGCGATTCAGCGTTACCCTCAGTTACATAAACGTTTACATTGACTACCTTGCTATGTTTTCTTATTGCAGTATTAATGTATCCCTTACATTTTAATGGATCTTTCTGTCCATATGCTGTAAAGTGTCTTTCAGTAGGATTCGATTCATAGTTCTTAAACTGCGATTGATACAATTTGGAGGATATGGTATTGACTATCATCCTTGTCCTTTGGTCATTCAGTTGCACTGTGATGGAACTGTCAGAGTTGTGAAAGAACAGCATTGGCTCGTTCTCATCATCTGAGTTATTAAGAAGCCATGATTTTGTCTTCAGGCTACAAATTTTGTAGAAGCCATGTTCCTTGTCCTTCTTTGCTGGCCTCTCCCACTGCTTGTGCCAGTTCTGGCCCGCTGTTTTAGTCATAGAACGGCATACCTTCTGCAGGTGTCTCACTTTCTTGCAGGCATTACATTTGGAATTCATAGCACCACATTCACTAGGACTGTGCCCATCTGCTGCACCGCACTGATAACAGTTGTTTGGTTTTGAAGGTGGTTTTGATCTGTGGGCAACGTAGTTGATCTGAATTGAGTCCTCTTTGGTCCCACTCCACAGTAGGATAGCCTCTTGTGTGGCGGCCTCCGTACTTTGTACTATCTTTAAGGCTTTGGCTAGGTTGAAGTCCTCCTGCTGTAATAGTATCTGTGTCAGAGTTCTGGAAGAGCATTTTACGACAATTTAGGTGCATATCATCTCTTCTTCTAATGTCCCAAAGTCACAGGACTGAAGAAGGTCTCTGAGGGTAATCAAGTACGTGTCAATTGGCTTGTCTGGCCTCTGAGCATGCGATTTTTGCTTGTAGCATTCTGCCACAATGTTCCACTTTGGAGCAAAGTACCCGTTAAGGGTGGCTTTCACATTGTTGTACACTTTGTGCTCGCCTCGAAGCATGCTGAAGATACGTTGGACTACTGGGCCAAGGGAGTGCAGCAGTGTGGCTCCTTGAACGTTATCCTCCTTGTTCATGAGACCTGAAGCAATCAAGTAGATCTCAAATGTGCTCATACAGTGCCTCCATTCAGTATAAAGGTCTCAAGCGTCAGCATTGAAGGGTGTTGGTATTGGCAAAGAATGGTCCATGTCATCCAAGGATTTGTGCGTTTGTCAGCTGTGTAATACAGAGGCCCTATTAAAGAGTATAATATTCCTGCCTTGTGCTACTATTTGGATAAAAATCCCATACTTTTACTACTCAAATGAAACCTTTACTTAGTCTACTTAAAATCTATGTGTGCATGTATCATGTAGGTTAACAAAGAGAGAAATAAATAGCCTTTAAATAGCATTTATACATGTTTATAATTCTGACTCACATAGTCTTTACTTAGAATCTCAGAGCTGAAATGAACTTTAACAGGTGTTTAAAAGCACCGAAATAGAGATAGAGGTAGAGAAATAGAGATAACATACAATACTAGTAGTAAATCTGGAATAGATTTACAATTAAAATTACATAGTGATGAAATAGCATTGATGCCAAGTTGTTTTCAAATAGGGATTTCATTGCGTTTAAATAGAGATAACATATCTCAATAATATTTTCTTAATAGCTTTTACGTAGCAGTAACCTAGTGTTGGTTTCCTGCTCACTTGGGTAGAAATATTGGAGTTCATCAAGCAGGAAGAAATAAGAAAATGAAGCTTCATGTACAATTGCACGGAAATTATGGACAAGAAGACTAAGTTTAATAATTATTTTGGCAGTCAGAAAAACGACAATAGGATGAGCTGAAGTTTGTAAACACCATTTAATTAAGCCAAAGTACAGTAATGTACGTCATTAAGCTTATTATCATTATTAAAAAGGAGACGGCATTGTCAATAAGTCAAACTTGACTAATTCAAAGACAGAATATCCCCCGCTTTAATGGCTTGTATTTTTCACATCATCTGCATCAATGTTCACATTGTGATGGATGAGGACCCACCCAACAATGGACCAAATCACCACCTCCAACTTCCAGGTAATGATGTGCACTGTTAGGGCACACATCAAAGGAACAAGGTAAGGAATTCCTTTTTTAAAAAACTGCAATTATTGATTATGCAACATTACCAACAAATGGTACTTGTAAAAATGTTTCATGTTATACAGTGCAATACAGCAATTAAATACAGAATTAATGCTTATTTGGTAGGAAGATTTGAAATTAAAACCAGCCGATAACTTTGTTCATTATTATTAGTATCATTATTCTTTGAATACAAGTGCAACTACCTTATAACAAGGAATGAAAGTGACTTAAAAAACACTGGTCTCATGTTATGGTTGGCTTTTGGCTACACTCTAAGAAAAAACATAACTTTTGTGATGCCTCTTTAACTGGCCACAAAGCATTTGTTTGCAAAAATAAAACAAGCAGCAGAAATTATGCAATTATTCATTAAACTACTAAATTAAAAGATGTATTGGGTATGTACAAGCAACAAGGAACAAGCAG